CTTGGTCTTCTTGTACCGCATGGATGATACGGCGGTAGTGGTTCCTAGATCGCTTCCACTTTGGGAGGAGCAACACCAGCAGCATTGGTTGCAACAATACATTATTTCCTTTGAAAGAAGTGGGTAATCTGTGATGATTGTAGCTTACGTGCTGTGCTTGCGCCAAGACGTCCTTCATCTGGAGATACGTTTCTTTCATACGCTTGTCGACGTTTTCATTGGTGTTATTGAGGTCAACCATGATAAATAAACGCTGCTCTTCAATACTGTTCTTGGTAGTACTTGTAGCGCTGTTGGAAGTTCTTGGTAGATCCGATTTTCAAAATCGACTGGCCTCTTGTACTTGTGATACAATAGATACCGCTATTGCATGTGATTTCTCGACGTCGTAGGTGTACAGCGAACTTTCCAAATGGAGGTTCGAAAAAGTCGTCTTCCGTCATGATGGTTGCACTCTCTACACAGAACGGTTTGATAATCTTCCGAGCTGTGGATTCTCCCACTATTTCGATGGGTTGAACGTCGCTTGCCTTGTCTCCCTTCTGCGTCTTTGTGGTGGTCTTGTGGGTTCAGATTTTGCACTTCCTCTTCTTGATTCTCCGATTCGATGGATTCTTGCGGAATGATACCGTTGACGATCACTCGGCATTGCACCGAGAGAAACCCATTTGACAGATCGACATCAGATTCGTCGGCTTCGGACAGATCATCTTAAAAGGAGACATAAGGAGCAAGTCTATTGGGAGGAAACACCAGATGAAAGAAGTACTATACTTCGTTGTGTTGCCATTCGGTGACTGGCCATTGGTATTTCCTCCAACGACAGACGAATCGAACATGTTGCTGTTGATCTTAAGATTTGGTGGGATGAGATGCAACAGTTGGGGTCGTTGTCCAGGATGAGTTTATTGGTATCCAGGAACAATATACCATGTTCCATTTCCAAAAAGTCCGTCATGGTTTGGAAGCAAGCCAATCTGCTATTCGTCTTTGGACGGCGGTGTACTTGCTGGTATCGAAGCATTCAACTTAAGTCCTTGGATTTCCCACAGCAGGAAAGGGTGATGTGTCAATGAATTGATCGTGGTACTGCTCTCCAAGGATACAAAGGGATGCGACAATATTTTTTGACAAATCCTTGACAACAGACATCTAACTGAAAAAGTTCTTGCAGGGGAATGCTTTCGCCGGGCCTTCGAGTTTTAGAATGGACAAATGCCGCATCACCTGTTGCGCTTGGATGCTGGCTGTATCGTATAGAGGAGGTAGTTGGGCGAGTAGAGAGTCGGCTTCGTAGGATGACAACGGTAGGGGGCTGGACTGGGCGAAGCATTGCCATGACACCAGGGGAGAGAGATTCATGTAGGAAACCGGTAGTGGCTTCGCGCGCGGCGCGATGCATCAGAGGAAGATGGCGGAGGCGGTGTCGAGGGAGGACAGTAGGAGTGACGACAGCGCGGAGTGTGAGGCAGGACACGAATACAAGAGACCTTCGGGGGAGTAGAGACAGGACGGAACAACGGGTTGGTACTCGGGTCAATGACGGTGAGGCACATGGACAGGCTGAGGGTTCGGATGAAGGCATAGAAACACAGTAGAAGAGGAGACCACACGCTATCCTAGATCTCAGGAAAGCGGTTCATTTGGCCTGATATCGAACGAAACCATTGCAACGCCCGTAGGCGTCAAATGTTCTCACATAAAACCGAAAGGGAAATCCCTAATGTCTTGCTCAAGCTTCTAATGAAAAGAACGGCATGGCGACTGCGAGTATCTCCACCAGCAACAGCAGTCGGGGGAGCAGCAGGGACAGTAGTGACAGACGTGTGATGAGCAACGCGAATTGAGGGAACGGCACGGCGGCGGCGGGCGGCTCGACTGGAGCCTGGGGCAGGCGATTATCCAAGGATCCAACGTTGGTTCTCGCCGTGGTAGGAGTGGTGGGACCATCATGATGGTTAGACTCTCCACGCTTGGGGCGTGTAGGCCAGTTGGAATGACGGGCGGGAGTTGAAGGTGGAGCAGATGAGGTTGCACGTGCGGGGGCAGGAGTAGTACGACGGAGAGGTTATGCTTTTCTTAGCGACTTTGCGAGTCTGTCATCCGACATTTGGTAGCAGTTTGGCCGTTGGGTGCAGTTGCTAAGCAAACTGGGTCCATCGCAATTATGACAGCGAAAGGCGGTGACGTAAAATCGGGAAACATTGCCTGATTCTGAGTGGCACCATACCAGTCTCCATGACTAAGGAGAGCATGGTAACGAGGGTCAGCAGCAGAAAGGATGGCATCAAGATCAGTCCAAATGTACTTGCGATCAAGATCGAACAACTCGTTGTTGTGTTCGCGGTTATAGCGGGCAACAAAAATGGAGGTAAGGGAAGACAGGAGTCGGTTGTAACGACGACGTAGAATTGTTTCGTGAGGTCATTTGGCACAATGGAGATATGGTTTCCGGACGCGTCGCGATGTCGCATGGCTCTCAAACTACCCACCAAGGTACACAAGTTTGCCACGACCTTTAGGGACTGCTTCACCGGGATAGGAGAAGATCTTCAAGATTTGGGAAGATGAAGCGTCGGCCGACCAAAAGCGGAACCATTCGTTACTAGAGGTGACGTCAGAGAGCGTGAGGACCCCGTACATATCGAAATAGTTGGAGCGTCCCACTAGGGCGAAGCAGAAAGACCTCAAGGATATCGAATTGGGTGAAGTAGTCAGCGACAAATTCATGGTTGTAGAGATGATATTATGATCGTGGATTCAAAGCTTGGGTGGCAGATGTCATCTGGTCGCTTCAGAAGTGCTGGGTCCAGAGTGGACTCGAACCGGAGCTCCCACAGGGAATTTCACGGTGGTGCCAAACGTAGCTATTGTTTCGGTTACAACAGCAATGGCAGAGATATCAGTCGGTTCAGGGAGTTCAGCGGTATGATAGGATCCGATTTAGAAAGGGATGAATCATAGAGTATAGCTTGAAGTGTGGGGAGCGCAGGACAGATGCCGTCGTAGGTGGAGTCGTCTCATTGTCGTCACAGACAATGAGAGCTGGAACTTGGTAAGGCTCATCATCAGTGGCAAGGTGGAATGCATGTTGGATGAGGGTGGTCTTGTCAAGGACAAACGTGGTCAGTGGCGAGAATGGTGCAGAAATCCCGTTTTTGCTTCTTTCGAACTTGTAACACTTACAAGGACTGAAGGTCAGAAATGTGAGCGGTGTACTGCTCACTTGATCTGAAGCCCACAGTCATGAACCAGTTGGAGAGAACGTGTTTATTCAACACGGTGGAGTGTCGGTCATGGTAGCAAAAGTAGAAGTGATGAGCTATTCTTTTTTTGTGAGGAGTGAGGAGTGGGATTTTGCCAAAGGCAAACAGTAATGGCTACGTTGTTTTTTGGTTGTCGAGAACGATGCGAAGGAGGATTTAATTGGACAAAACTGAAAACACGATCAGAAATTATCATTGGAGGGATTTTCATGCCCATCGACAATTATTGATCATCACACTTCATGTCAAAATACTTCAAGTGTATTATGTTCAGTGCAATCTGTCCCCCTAAGTAAATCTTATTGCCTTCCCGACCGTCTCATTACCACAAGTACCGGTACTCTCCTACTACGACGTAGGTAGTAGAGATTGGACTCAACAATGATGACCAAGCAAGTGTGATGATCGATCCATTGAGTAGTAGATTGATTATTGATTTTTCTCGTGTCGAATGGGGGGGGATATCTCTCATGCATTATTTTTGCGTGGACTTCCTCTTGTCATTTTCATCATCATCACCACCACCATTTGTACTATCGTTGTCGTAACCATGTCCAGTCGCAAGCTAAACTCTCGACCCATTACCGACTTCTTTACTCCAATAAAGAAGACAGTTGCCAATCGACAAGAACATGCAGCAACTAATGTAACTACTGCATCGACATCGTCGCCATCACCGTCGTCATTGGTGACAAATCCTTTGTATTCTCGTACTGAACCTTCTTCAAGAGTTGTTAACTCCACTGCCAATATGGGAAACCGAACCATGGGTCCCAACAAGGCAGCCACCAAACAGCAAGTCGCATCCAACGATGATATTCTGGAAGAGCTTCTCCAGACCCATGCCCCACAAATTGGACAATCGATTGGCGAGAAGTTTTGGATCAAGAAAAACCAAAATGTTGTAGCACATCCAGCCAAGGGAACCCCTTCCAACAATCCATCAATTGTCTTCCCATCGGGATATCTAGTCTTTGACAGTTTATGTCATGGTGGACTGCGTGAACGATTCAATGATCGAGTGCGTCAAGATACTTGTCACAACACCACCAAGGCCGTCCGATATGCACAATTTGCATTGAAGAAATTCAAGGTGAGAAAGCAAGGTCGTGATTGGTACACTGTTTCCTGTGGAGGGTACAACCTGGTATACATTGAGAGGAAGGAATCGAAAAAACCAATCCCGTCCAATACCAGTGCCATTATTGTACCGGTGGAATTACATAGCAAACAGCGAGTCAAGATATCACATTGGACCAGGGCCAGGGAGTGTGTCGTTTGTTTGGCCAAGGCAAAAGAACAATATCCACATTTGAATCGGGATGAGATGCGAAAACAAAAACTCATTAACCAATCTGGTGCGGGATGTCCTGACTGCAAGAAAGGGGAAGGAGCGGCCGTTTGTAAACACTGTTGGAATCAGTTCGATCACCAACAATTTCTTATGATGTAGTAGTGTATTATTAATATTTTATACTCTATAAATATTTAATAACAGAAAATATTATAAATAGTATTTTTATTGTCATTATTATAATTATTTACACTAGCTAGGAGTCGAGATATTATCCTCCATCCCTAATTGAGATTTGAATAAATCTATCCTTAAATTAGAAACCGATCATTTTTTTTGTGTCATTTTGGCACAAAGTCATAAAAAAAACTACTAGCTGTAATAAGCTAGAGTAAAAAATAGTAGCTAGCTAGAGATATCCTAAATATCCTTAACCCTTTCGACGTCGATGTGATTCGAACACACGCGCTCAGAGAGCAATGGATTAGCAATCCATCGCCTTAACCACTCGGCCACGACGTCTTGCTACCAACAACGAAGATAATGAAATCTGTATACTGTTGTGGCAGATTATTTTGGCTCCATCCCACCAGCTAGCTATGACAGTGCCGTAGCTCACGGCGGTGAAATTGATATTTTGTTGAGAAAGATGCTAAGTAGAAAATTATGACTATAAACTAAACTTCATGAAACATGGAATTGGAACATTTGGAAAACATTTCGGGAAACAAGGAAAGTAAGAAAGTCGTTCCTTCGGTCAAGAAATTGACGGTGGTGACCATCAAAAGATGAAGATCAAAAAAAAAAAAAAAGTTGTTCTAGTATTACGAGTAGTACGTGCTAGCTACTCTAGCTGTTGTGGTTTTTGGTTTTACTACTGTCGTCCTCCGATTATGGTCGTAGCAGTCTATCATACCATTGGCTTGTATGTACAGTACGTCGTACGAAGTTCAGCTACCGGTGTGTACTTTAGTAGTACTCCGAGTACGAACTACCGGTATCATACGAGCAGAGTTCGATACCGGTACCGTACCTGGTTATCGGTTATCAGTGGGTATTTCATACTTGCTCAGAACTTCGGGGACATGGACAACCGGGAGGAAAAGGCCAATAATACTCGTACGTCGTGACGGTGAATTCTTGATTCCAATAAAAAATTAATTATTCGGCTTATTCTTTTTGGATCATTTCCATTCTCAACTTTCTCACAGTCACCGCAAAGCCTGCAACTAGCTACTTTCTGCCTGTGAAGACGTTTCTTTGGAAGATCTTCTTGCTGCAGTCAAGTTCATCTAAACAATTGAACAATGGTCGCATATGGTAGCACTGCTGCAACAAAGGCACGAGCGAATAGAGACGAAGGAAATAGTGGCACTGCAATCAATTCTGCTGATGCATCCGAGACGACCTCATTGCTCGCTGATAGCATTCCCCATGTTCCTTCAATTCCTTCAATTTCTTTTGTCGAGGAGCAAAGTGCCAGCCCATGGTCCAAAGTGACCTTTGGGTGGATGGCTCCTATGATGCGATTGGGAAATGCGAAAAAGAGACTGGATCCGGAGGATATCCTTCACATACCCTTACCGACCGACTGTCGCACGGATGTCCTGAGTGCAGCATTTGAAGCCAGATGGAACGAAGAGCTGGAACGAAGTAAACTGAAACGTACAATATGGAAAAAGGATCCAAATGGTTGTGAAACGACCAACAATACTTCATCAACCAAGAATTGCAGAATCAGTGAACCATCATTGATCCGAGCGCTCTTTCGAGCATTTGGTTCTGACTACCTGATAGGAGGATTCATCCTCAAGTTCGTCCATGATTCGTGCATCTTTGTCGGACCACAAGTCTTGCATGGTCTGATTCTGTATTTGGGCAGCACCGATGCTCCCTTGTCACGAGGACTCGGCTTGACGTTGGCTGTTACCGTGTCGCAATTGTGCATGTCCTTCTGCTTGCGACACTACTTTTTCAAATGTTACAAATTTGGATTGATGATACGGACAGCAGTCGTTGTGGCAGTTTATAAAAAGGCTTTGGTGCTCAGCGCTGGAGAACGACATGTTCGACATTTGGGTGAAATTACCAACCTCATGTCCATTGATGCACAAAGACTACAAGACTTGACAACATATCTTCATGCGATATGGTACAGTTTTTGGCAAATCGGGTTAGCATTGTTCTTTTTATGGCAACAATTGTACGTTCCGAATCGTTCTTGAAAATGATCGATTAGTTGTACACTTCAATCGTGATGTGGGAAAGAGCCCAGACCCATTCCTTCTGACTAACACCACTTTTTTGTCTCGTTTCTGTTTTTCTGTTCTTGCTCATTTACGTCTTTTTCGTAGGGGTCCGAGTTCTCTGGCAGGGGTGGCCGTAATATGCGTCATGATGCCCGTGACCAAAACTGTAGCCAAATACATGGGAGGATTACAGCGTCAACTCATGATCGCGAAGGACAAACGGGTAGAAAACAACAGTGAAGTATTGGGCGCCATGAAAGTAGTAAAACTGCAGGCATGGGAAGTTCCCTTTATGGATCGGATTACGGCGCTACGAGAAACCGAGCTTCGTCATTTATTGAACTACATCGTGGCAGAGTCTTTCTCCTTTATGCTGTGGTCGGCCGTCCCATTGGCAGTGGCACTAGGCACATTTTTAGTGTATGTCGTCTCAGGACAAAACCTTACCGTCTCCACGGCCTTGACCTCCTTGGCTTTGTTTGATATTTTACGTTTCCCACTCTTTATGCTGCCACAAATTATCAACCGAATTGTTGAGGCTGGAGTATCATTGGGACGAGTTCGATCCTTTTTGCTTTGTGAGGAGCACAAATCGATCCAAGCAGGGAGTCTTGAAGATGCTGGAGTGCGTATGACGAATGTTTCGGCAGCCTATGAAAGCTTGAAGAATGAAAATGGATATGGATCCCATGATCATAAGAACACGAATCCGTTGGCATCAGAACTAGCGGAAAAGACCTGGGAGCTATCCTTACTAAAATCGCAATTGGAAGAAGCAGAAAAGAAGATCAATGAGTTGTTGGCTGCCCAAAAGAATAATGCCAGTGACCCCGAGGGCGTTGGATACTTGTCCAGCAGCATGCTGTGTTTGAAGCGAATCAACTTTGAATGCAAACCAGGCACGCTCGTGGCAGTTGTTGGCAGTGTAGGCTCCGGCAAGTCAAGTTTAATCAACGCCATGCTGGGCGAAGTGAGGGAATTGGCAGGAAAGACGGAAGTCAGTGGTAATCTTGCCTTCTTTTCCCAAACTCCATTCATTTTAAATGCAACGGTCAAAGCCAACATTCTTTTCAGCCATGTCAACGAGCCTATCGACGAGGCAAAATATCAACGAGCACTGGAATGCTGTGCATTGAAGCATGATTTGCAAAGTCTTCCTGCAAGCGATATGACTGAAATTGGGGAGAAAGGAATCACGCTGAGGTGTGTGTATGTGCGCATTGGCTGTACATTATGTGTCTGTTCTCTCTCTAATATCTTTCTGCCATTCCTGATGACCGGCTTTCTAATCTTTTTCGCATGTTTGATTTCCTGAAGTGGTGGTCAAAAGGCTCGTGTGGCGCTTGCCAGGGTGGTCTACCATGGCGCCGATATTTCGTTATTGGACGACTGCTTGAGTGCCGTCGATGCCCATGTGGCCAAGCATGTTTTTGAGGAATGCATTACCGGAGAATTGCTTCAAGGGAGTGGACAGCTGTTTACAAACCGATCTGTCATCTTAGCGACGAATGCTCTAGAACATCTGAAGCATCCTCGTGTGGACAAAATTGTCGTATTGCATGAAGGGCGGGTGGTGGAGCAAGGAACATACGAAGAACTATCTACCGACAAAGGATCGGAATTTTCACGGTTTTTGGCTGTGATTGAAAAAACTGGCGTGGCGTCATCCTGCGGTCATGTACATGGCGATGCCACGGAAGTTGATGATGGCTATGACGAGCAACGCATCTTGAAGGCCGTCTCCCGCGATTCGGATCAAGCTGTTGAGGATGAAAACACGGGCCAGAAAGACACTCGGAAGCTCATGACAACAGAAGAAAGGTCGATTGGTCATGTTGGGGCTGACGTTTATTTTTACTGGGCCAAAGCTGCAAGCGGCGTGTGGGTACCTTTTGCGATTATTCTGGTGTATGGAGCTGTAGAAGCATTATCCGTGGCCTCCAAATGGTGGCTCACTTACTGGTCACAACATGGAAGTGACGGGAACCAAATGTTCTTTCTTGGTGTATACGCATTGATAAATCTCGTCAACGTCTTGACCATCTTCTTGCGAATCATATTTGTAATGTTGTTGGGTTTGCGGGCATCAAAAAAGGTATCAAAAAACATGTTGTGATTTGCCAGAATATCACTTTTTGCAAATACTCGACCTAACACGTTTGATCCTGCTTTTCCAGATCTTTTCCAATCTACTACAAGTCGTCATGCACGCTCCCATGTCCTTTTTCGATACAACACCAATTGGAAGAATCATCAACCGATTTTCTCAGGACATGTACACCGTCGACAGCCAATTGATGAACGCCTTGAGAAGCTATCTGACGACGATCATGAACGTAATCAGCACAATTGTTGTCATCTCTGGGGTTACTCCCGCCTTTGTAATTTGCCTCGTACCGATCCTTTTATTCTACGCCTCTCAACAAAATTTCTTCACGGTACGTTGCAAAAATTGATCGCAGCGCCGCAGTTGTAAAAGATTTCTCCATACTTACTTGAAATTTACATCTGTTTTTCACGCACAACAGATGTCATATCGAGAGCTGAAACGTCTAGACTCTGTCAATCGCAGTCCAATTTACGCTCTGCTTGGAGAGTCGATCGACGGGGTTGCTACAATTCGTGCATTCGGCGGAGAAAGTGCTCTTTTGAGTCGTTTGACGAGGATGCTAGATACTCAACAGAATGCATATTACCTTCTGTGTGTTGCTCAGTAAGTTCGTCGAGTTCATTCAGTTTTCTAGTTTATAAAGCCTTTTGATGTTTGTGCATCATCTAATCTTTCTCTGATGCGCATTTTGTGATACGCAGGTGCTGGCTTGCCATTCGCCTCGAGCTTGTTGGTACTCTATTTATCACGCTTGCATGTCTTTTGGCAGTTTGGCAACATAGCATTCGCGGAGCAGATTTGCAGTTTGCTGGTTTGGCAGGATTGTCCATCAGTTACGCGCTGTCCGTTACTCAGTCGTTAAACTGGTCTGTCCGAATGGCAAGTGATTTGGAGGCGAGCATGATTGCGGTGGAACGAATAAGATCGTACTGCGAGATTGACAGCGAGGCCCCTCGCGATACGGATGCTGACAAAACGCTTCCAAAGTCGTGGCCGACAGGGGGAAAGATTACCTTTCAAAACGCGTCCTTGCGGTACCGACCAGGCTTGCCACTTGTATTGAAAGGTCTGAATCTAGAAATCCCGCCCGGTGCAAAGTGCGGTGTGGTGGGTAGAACGGGTGCGGGGAAATCGACCTTAATGGTATCCCTGCTGCGAATTGT